CCTTTTATAAGAACTTTTCTCCCCTGACTAGTTGACTGTTCTTCTTAGTCAAAGAAATGAGTTCTAGCTCCTTACCCTTTTCCCCTCCCTTCTCCTCTCCTTTCTGACATACTGCATTTGCTTTCAAAAGGAATTGGGAATTTTGAGCCTTTTCCGTACCTGGTGTGCTAGTTATTACTGAGGCCTTTCATTAGGATATTACATAAATGGTACTTGAAGCAATAATGGTGCAAAACAATATTCTAAAGGAACAACTCATTCATGTGATAAAAACTGCCTCATTTATTTTCTATAGAAATAGATCTGATTAATGTTTCTATTTTCAAAGCTCATTAAACGGTAGTCTGACTTTGACAAATGGGACAGAGATCCACAGTGTTAAAAAACATTTTTGCTTTGTTTGTAATAAGTTTTATTTACTATTCTTTTGTGACATATCTTCTTATGCTCAGGCTTTGACAACGACAAATAAGATTCTGCTGAAAATAGAAACAAATAACAAGATTGACACAAATAATTCCATCTTCCTAGCTGTGTACAAAAAATGCAAGATTCAAGAGAAAAGTTGAGATGATCTCATTCAGCATACCATTAGGTGCAAGAGCTGCCAACCAGGATCATAAAGGCAGACACCATGAAGGAAAACTCAAGGTACAGGGAACCTAACTAACCCCAAACTATTCTCCTGGCCATCCTTTAGGCACAAATTCCAGCCTCTCCATGGAAATAGCTCCAAAATCTGCCCCCGGGATTTTGTGAAGTAATTTCACTCTAGGAAAAAGTACATTTCATAAGCACCTTGTTTAGATGACATGTTTATCCATGGAAACCCCCAAGAAACTAAGAGAAGCAAAAAAAATATTCTTAAATCAAAAAATATTATCTGGATCACATCTTGTCACAAAGTCATTTTTCCATGTATGGTGGTTTTTGATGAGAGATGGAACAACAGAGCACGAGTATGAGCTCTGGCACCGCGCTTGAGCACTACAGGATAGGTACCTGCCATTCCCACAAAATCCATAATTAAAAAGACAAAAATAGTGTTTATCTTTATGCAGTTTTTGAGTAGGATGACTTTTAGAAAGGGATTTATAGGAATCTGAAGTCTTACTATTTCTTCCACCTTTAGAACGAGGCTTTTCATTTTCTTTTTTTGTCTTAAATAATTGTCTAAAAGACAACTGAATTAAGCTACTCGTAAAGAAAGTAAGCTCTTCTCTTTTTTCTATTTCTACAGTAACAAAGTACACAATTCTTAACATCCAGAGATCCTTCCATCTTTGGCTTTAGTTTGGACAAGGAACTGGACTGTAATGACAGTCTCCTGTGTGATAACCAGCATGTTTCTGTCAATCTTCATTGAACCCAGCTGGATTGTTAGCATGCTCAGATCAGCACCAAAATTGCGATGGTGGTTTGATTTCTACCCATCATGACGAAGGGAGTATGGAAGATCCAGAAGCATTAGAAATTTAAACAATCAAACGGAGAGAGAAGTGACATCTCTGTCCTCCCTATTTTGCATATTTGTCCTATTTTTGTTTAAAAAATTAAACATAGCAGTGCACATTCACAACTGACCAAACTGTTTTGCCATTTTTGTACTTTATTATGAACAAGCAACAGTAACAGGGTGGCAAAGGGCTTCATAGTAGTCCTGGCAGTTTACAGCATATCCTCTCTGCTTTCACATCTATACAAAACAATCACCATGATGCTCAGACCAAAACAAAGACTATTTTTGTCACGCTGCCGCCCTTCCACACCAAACAAGACACTTACCAGCACTACAATTTACTATCACATCATTTTGGCCCTGTGCGTAGTACCCAGGCCTATTTCATTGTTGACCTTTCTGCAACACACATTGGGTCCTACAGGCTATTATGAAAATAATTGCATAAATCCTAACTTTTGCTAGAGCTGAACAGATCCAATGCAAGATAATCTTCATTGTACGCAGCTGTTTTGAAGGTCTCAGTGGAAAGTTATACACTTTTTTTGATTTCCAGACAGTGGGGGCATTTTAGAGACAGAAAGGGAAAGCAGATGGGGGGGGCTTAGAGAAAGGAAGTAAGGGAGAGGACAGATTTATGCACTAAGAAGAATGCTTACTCCAAAGTACTTACTAAGGAATTTACAGCATCTGCTGTTTGACTGAAATGAGCTTTCACAGGTATTGGCTGGATTAATCCCAACACACACTTGGGAAAACATTTTCCACGCACGTGGTAATTATAAGCCGAGCTCCTTTTTTTTTTTTTTAAATTCTATTCCACCGAAAAATAGCAAGCATGCACACTTATGTCTGGTTGAGCAGAACAAAAAAACCAGAAAGTTACCCCACCTTCCAAAGCGTAGAAAGCCAACCTCTAAGTGGCAATAACACAAATCTGCATCCCTAGCTGTAAAGCCTCAGTGACAGCTTGCAAGTTAGGTCTGGACATGTAGTATATAATCACAACCACACATCAACAGTTTAACTTTAAAAGTTAAGCAGATTCAGAAGATGCAAAATTTTCACTCCAAATTCTACACTTCAGAGCCAGTTAATAGCTTCTCCATTTGTAGAGGACAACAAAATAGCAATGAAACCTTAGAGAACAATGTATGAGGAAGCATATTTAAGATTTGTTGCAGTTTCAGAGATATTAATCATTTCAAAAAGAAACTTTGTATTAAAAAAAGCAGTGATTTATATTTCTGTGCCAGATCACCCGATGTTGACTGTCCAGCTACCTGGGGTTTGGTTTTGTTTGTTTCTTCTTGTGTTAAGCAGTTCCCCGGCAGTGCTGCTTCTTTGCATGGGGGTGCCTCTGCAGGAGGGCACTCAGGACAGTCCTATTTAGTGACTGCTATGGGTGCCCACCAATATCATTTTTCTGAAGAACACAGCTAGGGGAGGCATATGTAGTCTTAATGTTACTAAGCCTGCTAAACCTTAACACATGGAGCAGAGAAGGCTTCCCAGACCAGAGATACACCTTCCTCACAATTGATTGTAAAAAGCCTAATTTGAATGATGAGGGTAAGGTGGTGTCCCAGCCTAGAAAGCTGCAAACATTTTAAATGAGATAATTTGAGGATGCTGACGTTTTACATCTGCTCCTCCAGGGTATTTTTATAATGTCCAAGACAATAAAGCCCTAACCAAGATGTAGATGACAAAGTGCCAAGCAGGAAACCTGTATTTTTACTAATTCATATATGGGGACTACAAGTAATAAAATACCTATATCTAGGACAAAATTCTGCAATAGACTCACTGTAAGTAAAATGTGCTGTATCATGCTATGGCTTCATGCTCTCGGACAGAGACTGTTACAGAAAGCTCTAAGTAATATAAAGTTTAGAAAAAAGTTTTCATTCATGAATCACAATTTGTTTAAATATTAGCAAGTGTTCAGTTGCCAAGTTTCAGTACTCTTGGAGCATACTGAATACACCATCTGCAAAGCCTCAGACAAGTGCCTTATACCAAACACAAGGCAACACTGCATTTTCCTAACTACTAGCTGTGTTCACATCCACGGGGAGTGACATGGACCAAATTTTATCAAAGATACAGTTAGAACTATCTTTTGAATTGTGTGTTGCCTGTTTGCCAAATCTAACAGCAAGTAATTACAACAGGTCTACCAATTACTTATTTCCCATGATGAGATCTAACCACAAGAGAACCATCTTTTTTTCTCTAGGTTTATTTTCAGGTAATATGTGCTGAAAGATATCTACTGCTTACACATTTTGCACACTGATTATTTGTTGTTTCTGTATATAAGTTTGTATAGTCATACACTGAAATATACATTTTCATTTAAATAATAAAATCAATCCTAGATCTCTTGAAAATAAAGCTATCCATTTTTTCTTTTTTATAAAAGTTTTGACTCATTACCCTAACTGCACCCCCCACCTGGGCAGCGGCTTGAACAGACAGTTATTCTGTAGGCTCCAGCTCCATTCACTTCAAAAGCCATGAACTTCATCCGTTGTTGAGAAAGTCAGTTATTCAAAGTTGTGCAGCTTAATGGCCACAGAGTGCTTTGCTTAGGGTGCACATTTGCCATGGCCAGATGTTGTGGTGGTGGGTCTTTTTCCTAATGATTAAGTAGCCCTTTTTTTGTAGATACGTTGTTGAGGGGAGGGGGGTTGAAGTGGACCGAAAAACCACCCCACTACAAAATACCAGATTCACCAATGCAAGTCACAGTCTTAGAAACGTATCCATCAGGTGTATCCAAGAAAAACTTCAACATAAAATCTAGAAAACCAAAACAACAAAACCAGAACCATTTCTTTGCCATTAGGGATGCTCATTGCAGAGCAGGACCAAGTGCAGGGTTCTGGATCTGAAGTTTTCAATGCCCTTCCTGATCCATTGAGAGATACTTACATAAAAGACAGGCATATGTCTGTCATACGCATGCAGTTTCAGAGCTCAGACTGATTAACAGTATATTGGACACTTACCTAGATTTAAATGTCTTGAAATCATTCTCATAGATACCTATTGCAATTACTGAAATACAGTTACTGTATTTCTGTTACTGAAATAGATACAGTCAGTTTAGCGCATAAATTAGGGTACTAACAAAGAGGGATTCTGGCCCTGATTCTCCAGCTTATGCAGATCATAAGACAAGGACAAGCTAAGTGCCCAGAGAAACAAAAGACAAGCCACCCTCCCCACACCTGTGGCCAGTGAGGTGAAAAGCTGATCCCCAGGGCAAGGCTAGAGCAGCCTTTTCTAACATGCACTAAGCAGCTTGCTGCCCCTTCTCCTCTGTTGGCGAAGGCCACCTCTGCCGCAGTGCAGCAGTGACTTCGTTTGAAGAGCTCATGTGGGATTGCCCATGGGGAGGAGAGAGCCCATGGGGTACTGCTGCACTGCTGTAGCAATACCTCCAATCAATATTGAGCAAGAAGACTCTCAGCTGCCCTGAGAGCTGAGCAGCTGATATCCTCAAGAGCATCACCAAGGGGCCTTACTTTACATGAGAAGAAGGGCTGATTTCACACAGAGTCACTGCAGAGCCAGAGGATGATGGTGCACCATCATCATCTAGCTCCATATGTGGGCTTGGTTTTGGCTTAAAAAAAAAAAAAACAACCCAAAACACAGAGTTAAATCCACAGAAGTAACCATACTTACACAACTTCCAGGTCCATAGAAAAAAAGCCATGGCCTTCCTCTCCTGCACTGAAGCTGCCACCTTCTCTTCCTGCCTCAAACTGCTCTCCATTGCAGCGGTTGGTGAGCGATGTGCACCAATTTCATGTTTGCCAGACACCATTTAAAAACAGCACTGCAAAAGCGGCCGAATTCAACCCCCAAACACCAGCTTCTGCACCAAAGGCACAGAAAAAGAAGTGCCCTCCTCAACACCTACTCTCAAATACTTTCCAAGCTCTTTAGCGTAAGACTAACCCACCTGTGCAAGCTGGTAGCAAAGCACAGGCTGGGTTTGTCAGCACAAAACAGCCGTGGAAGTGGAGCAACAAATTAACGCAGGAGATGCTGTGACAGCTATGAGAAAACCTGTCCTGCTTGCAATCAAGTCAACAGCAGAAGTCCCAACAAGAAGCAGTGTTGCACTCTGCATCAGTCGCCGAGAGCTCTGTGCAATAATCTGACTTTCCCCATGCCTTGCTGTGCAGCTCGCTAAAGAAGACATTCCCAGTGTCTTCCTTGCACAGCGTATCCCTTGTCTGCTTACCAGAAACACAAGAAAATGCACTGCGACCGGACCCTGTGCTGTAGCACCAACCGTATTTCATCAAAACTGATAAATAAAGTCTTACATAACAGTCTTCATTCGAGACACTTAAATCTGCGGCTTCAAATCCACTTTATGCACTTTTAGTCACATAAAAGTAAAACACTTTCCCCTAGAAGAAAACTCAGGATGGTAGAAAAAGGCAATGTATTCTATTGGCCCATTTAACAAATGAAACATTTACTTTCTCATTGGTGTAAAGTGACAGCTGGCTTATTAGAGCTGACACTGATCCTCCCGAGAGGATCTCGGTGAGCAAGTCGCATGGGTGAAGGTCAAAGTAGCAAAGGGATTAAATAGAGGAAGGAAGCAGCTTCCTCATCAGGACAGAAATTAGCTGACAAAAATGCTATTCCTAACGTGGCCCTCGCTGGTTGGAAATACAGCACTTGCAAAATGCTTTGTTCTTGAGAAATGTCTCCAAGACACTTTCTGAATTGAAGTTTTTTAGACCTGGCCACCAGCTGCATGCACTGCAGGCAGGACCCCAGTGCAGCTCTCACCTGCAGTAAGCACTCCATAAACGCAGTTTGTGCCCTGTCACTGCCGGACCTGGTGTCAAAGACAACACAAGTAATACTCTTACTTACAAACCATATATCACTTTTGACCTATGTGAGAGGGATAATTAACAAAGAATGACACACTTTTTAAAGTGAATAATAAGACCAACACAGCCATCCTGTCTCAGTGAGTTTGAACTCCTCCGCCAGGCACGCACAGCTGGCTGGAGGGAGCTGAACGGGTTTTCTGGCTGCCCTCGGCAGACCTTCAACACCCCAGAAGAATTCAGAGATCAGCCAAGAGCCCACCAGTTTTCGCCAGGGTTTGTTTAGCACTCCTGCCTCTGCCTCCCTGGCGTCATGGCCTCCCCACGGCACCAGGACCTCGGCAGCTGCTGCCCTGTGGCAGAACCTGCAGAAGGATCTTTGCATCCCCACGAGGAGAGGTGCAGAGCTGGTGACGGGGGGTGTAGGTCTGGTGCACCTCTCTGGAAAGAGATGGGATTTGAGCCTGGGCAGCGTAGGAAGTCCTGCCTGAGGCGAGGTGTACCGTCCTGTCGTGGCAAACCCCTACGGGGAGATGGAGCCCATGCTGTCCAAATGGTTCCTTTTCAAGTTTGCTCTGCTGAAATCACAACATTGAAAATGAGCAACACAATTTTACTCCCCCTGACTCCCCTGCCCTGTGAAGGGAAGCAAATCTGCTCCAGCTAACACACGTAGCCAAACCAAGGACATGGGTGCTGGTGCACACCAACCCAACCTGGGCAGCTCGGCAGTCTGGCACGGGCGACGCAGGGCGGCTCTCAGCCACCTCATTCTGTACCTTCCCCCCAGGGCAAGCCAGGTTTTACATCCAAAATTTGTGGGTGCTTCAGCTGGGCAAATAACAAATGACTTTGGTGTGAGCCATGCCTCGAAAGACCCTGTAACCACTGTGTTTGTTACACCTTTCACATTTTAAGAGAGCAGAAGAGCAGCTGAAAGAACTAAGCCCAACCTTGGCCAGCACAGCCTCCTCTGGAAATCTCTTACTCCCAATATTTCAGCTCCCTTCCAGCACTGGTGGTAACTCCTTCCTGACCAAGAATCCCAAAAGCGTCCGAGCGAGCAGTTTATGGCTACCCGTGATCCGTCACCATCTGGGTGTATTGGGTTTCCCTTACAATTCTTGAAGTCAGTGAGGTGCATTTGGGTTTGCAGGGACAGGTTGCTAAATTAAGTCTGACGGGTGCCAGCATCTCCTGTTTTAATCTCAGCGCTCTCCAGGCCCACTTGTACGATACAAAGTCACAGACTTTATTCTTCCTTCATGTAGATATCACTCATTTACATCTATGAGGTCCTGTCCTGGCCAGAGACAAATTAAAGTTGCTCCACTGACTACGTTAGGGCTCTGCCAGGGGACATAGTTTGGGGATGTGAGCATGTAAACCAGCATCATTTTCCTAGAAAACCACATATTCACTGGTGTCAGGTCTGACCAAAAAATGTTCTCAGTAGCTCTGATTTATTGCAGTTTTGATGAGATGGCATTCTGGAATCAAAAATTATCATGTGCAGCTCCATGTGAGAGAGCAACCAGGACCACAGAAACTAGATTGTTGTCACTGAGCTAACTGGGGACGAAGGTCCAAAAATAAGTGTGTTTGAGAACAAATTTTCAATTCCTGAAATGCATCAGGCAAGTAAGTTGGTCCATTGAATACTGTGGTCACTTTTCAGAGCTATGCATGGCACACAGAGCGGTACTTGACCCTTCTCCTTCTAAATACAAAAACAAAGAAGTGAAATGGGTTATTACCTCGTTCCTCTGCAACCAGGGGGGAAACGATGACCATTTATGCCCACGGGAGCTCACACAGGAATGCTTCCCAACCGTTTCTTTCTGTGCCACAAGTTTCTCCCATTTGACAGGAGAGCTGGGCAGATTTACTTTCACAAAATGTTCTGAATTTCCTAGATGAATAAGAGTGTCAAAAAGCAGGTGTATTATCCCCATGTGTCACGACTTTCCCAACAAAATGAGTCAGCAATCCAACTTCCCAATTCTCGGTCCTCTTTCAAACCATTCCTAGTAGATTTGAGTTTGTTTGCCAGACAGTTTTTTGTTTTTTTCTCATGCTAACAAGATGAATACAGGAGTGCCTGGATGTCAAATATGCACACAAGAAAGACAGGATCTGAGAAGTTTGGCTTAGCCACAAAGTTTTGCAGAGTCCCAGATCCTCTCATCTGATCTTCTCCCGTTTCAGTCAACAGTTTCAGTCCTGACACTCTGGATAATATCCTGAGCTTGAGCACATCTCCATGGAAGACCCCAAGGAATAGGTATATGTAGTCAAGTACATTCCTTGGCTCTACACAATTCCTATGAAATACTGAAGAAAATCACTTGCATACTATTCGCACTTAATTTAGCACACCTACTGAAATGAACATGCTGAGGTAGAAATGAACTAATAACTAGATCTAATCTCTTTTAAAGGTCACAAGCCTCCTAAAAAGTTTTCAATGCATTTTCAAGCATGAGCCTACCCAAAAACCTGTGGCTCTCGCTCATTCTGCTGGGTTCCCAGCATGAGCTGTGTCCCCTTTCTGCGGACCTTCACCTGCAGAAGTTCAGGCCTTCCCAGGGCTTTTTCTTTGGACTCTGAAGTCTGCAGAGCGCGCGTCTTTCACCAGACATTCTGCCCGCTGCGGCATCCCACCCTATCAACATCTCCAGACAGAGGGTTAGAGTCCAGAAAACACAGGGGGAATAGCAGGGAAACAGCTGAGCCATTTGACTTGCAATTAAGTACAATCTGTTTAGAAGTCCAATGAGAAAAGTTATGGTTAATCGCTACTTGGGAGGGAGGGAGGGAGGGAGGAAGGCAGAGAGGAGCAAAGAAGAAATCTTCTTGCTTAAGAGATAAGGACAACAATATCTAATCCCAGCTGAAGTTCTTCCCTTTGTGCCTAACATAAGTTCACTCCACTGGATCCTCTGTGTATCTTTCTGAAACCAATCTAGCTTCCATCAGATATCCTACATTATTCAGAGAGACTCTTGCAGCAATCAGGAATATAGCACGGGTGCTCTTCCTCTGAATTTCCATTTAGACAGCACCGCCACCTCTGACACTCTCAGGAGCCCCTGTAAAGGGCTACAAGACCCCCTACACCACAAGGCTTTTCTGTATGGACCAGTGCCACCCATTTTAGGGCCCATTAACACCAGATAGCCACCTGGGGAGATGACCGAAGAATGAAAAATGGAGTTAATTGGGCCAGGTACACAGGAGGTAAAAGAAAGTTGGCACACAGTCGCTCACACTACTCTAGCTGATCACACTGGTAGTAAACCTTGCACTCTGAGACCACATTTGCTTTCCAGGCCCAAGAAAAACATGTGCTTCCTCCCATGTTCATTAAGTTGGTATGAAGACCGGTACGCAACTCCTGCAAAATAAAAAGACCTTTCCATGGCTGTGCCATCCTGTATGTGCCTCCCCAGCAACTTGCTCCAAACTCATTTTATTTCCTCTTTCATCACCAGAACTTTCTGCCAGAAAAGACACATTAAGTATTTGGCATTGAAAAAATCAAAACAAAAGGTGAATGGGGAAACACACATCTCTGCACAGAGTGGTGGTTGTAAAGAGAGCAAGAGCAATGTCAGTGCCCTTTGGAAAAAAAAAATTAACATAGGCCAAAGATGACTGCCAATAAATACTAATATCCTCTATTAGACATTGCATGCCTTAACCCCATTTCCCTTAATGCTTTATTACATATTTTACCTGGTGCGACACTGATGGAGTTTTAAAGCCACTGCAAAGGGTACGAGAGTGTATAAAAGAAGCACAGAAACATTTTGAACTCCTCTTTACAGAAGAGGAGGACACAAACTAGGGAGGATAGTAAAGTGTTAAAAATGTATCATCTATTTTTCAGTCTTCCAAGTATCCTCCCTACACAGTCATGTAGACCTACCAAATCCATAAAATATTCCATCTTTGTCTCCTCCTACAGGTGCCGCACAATTTCAACCTCCAACACAGTGTACAGATTTTTTGGTGAGATTTCCAGCAAACAAATTAAAACCAAACTATCCAAAGACTGGAGTCCTGCAATATCAAACCTCACAGATTTTTGAAGTTAATATTATACTCTTGTGTCAACCAATTCCAGTGAAACTCATCATACATAAGTCTTTAAAATATGAAACCCCAGATATGGTTATTTTTACCTGATGTATTTATATTATGAAAATTAAAATAGATTTTATGTTATTCTAGCATTCATCAGCCTTGACTTCATGCTTTGTTTAGTTAAAGAGAGGAGGGAAAGAAAAAGAGGCGAATAAAAACATTTTCACCCTATCTTAGGAAGAACCTGGCACAATCAACTTTACACTACCAACACACTTCTCCCCCCCCCCCGCGTCTGAATGTAAACTGCTTTAAACAGCTTTTTTCGGTCTGTCTGTAGAAACTGCCACATGTGTATCTGAGAAAAAGTATCTAGCCCAGTAATAGCTTTCCCTTTCCAAAAGGAAATATTTGTATCAGTGTGAGCGAGTTTTAGCAGTACAGAAAGAAGTGCCTGAAGGCTGAGCTATGTTAATTTTCCACTGACTTCAGAGATAGGATCGTTCACATAAGATGAACACATGGTTCAAAATAAAACAATACAAAAATATACACTGAGATACAGAAACACAAGTCTTGAACAGCAGAAGGAAGCATTCTGAAAATCTGTGTTGTCACATAACATATTCACCTCATTTTTTACATTCAAAGCATGTGAAAGTTCCAGTCCAAAATGCGTTGACAGGAAAAGTTGCTCGACCACCTAAACATCACATTTAACACACTCACTGCTCTTACAGAGTGTCGGTATGGATTTAATCTCACAGACAGCTCAGAAGACTATGGACAAATACTATCACCCGACAATAATTACCATTTATTCTCATTTTCCTTCTGTATATACCAACAAAAATGCTTTTTCTGCTTTTTCGTATGAAGCAGCCAATTACCTGCTGTGCCTTGTCAGCCCCCATCCACACTCCGCATGAAACGGATAACGCACCGTGCAGCACAGCGGGGAGAGCTCACTCGGATGCAAAATCATTCTGAACTTACTCAAGTAAAGGCTCTCCGCTGCATTCGCAGGCTGAGCTGTGTGTTAACTGTATTTATTCACCACTGAAAGACTACACTTTGCAGTTATAACCCTGGCAAATACTGAGCGCTTAAATAACTCTACTTTTGCTTAGCCACACAAAGGGGTTTTATTCTTCTACCACAGCTGCACGCAAAAGAATAGAGTGCCATTTCCAATCAAAACTCCTGAAGTTACTACTTACCAGCTTGTGATTATGTATTCAGTAAGCCCAATGAGCTGAAAAGATTCTGTTGCAGAAGGCAAAAGTTACAAAAAAGCGGGCAAAGTTAAGGAAAGTGCAGGGCAGCTAGCACAAAGCCGCTCTGCGTCCCACTACTTCAGTGTTCCTGGAGACTAAAAAAGACCTTAAAGAAAATGCTCTCAGCAAAGACTACATCCTCTTGTCAGTCAAACCCTACATAGTTTCAGCTAGGCATTCATCCAAGAAGACATGGAATTATTCTATTTTTGTCTCTCAGTGCAAGCGGAAACATTTTTACAGATTTGTGGTGAGGATTTCAGTTTTTGTAGTGGTCAGCTCGTAGAGGAATGTAATTAAAGACCCTCTTAAACATAAGATGGTTCACAGGGGAGGATTTGGGTAAATTCAGAGATAAAGAACGATTCCATCACAATACAGTCTGATATAGAAGCACGATAAAAGCTTTCAATGAGGTTAAAAACCCAGATGTGGTTTAATGGAAGAAAGTTGTAAAAAACTTTTTTTTTTTTTTAAACAGCATTGCTGTCGTGAGTAGTGGGACAACAGCACATTTTCAACATACATAGGACTTATCTTTTTTAATGAAATAATTTTCATTTTAAAAAATTAATGATTTTACACGGAAAGCCAAACATTTATTTTGCCACCCATGTTATGCCTGGTATGTTACTGTTTTTATTCAACACAGGTGTTTCCTTAGAAGTACTTCACATTTTGCCTATTGCTGACTTCTAAAATAAACCCAATCCTCTGACTTTGTAAAGTACAAAAATACTTTGGAAACTGCAAGTTTCGATTCTGTTGTTTTTAATTTTTACTCTTCTTATATCTATAAGACAGTATGATCGTTTCCTGTGTACATTCAGTCTGGAAGCTAACAGTGAAACTCAGCGTGCATCTGTACTGATCCCTTGAGCTCTGCAGACACAAGACTTTCCTCACAAGGGAAGCTTTTAGTTCAATTCCCCAAAGCTCCGTCATCATCGAGGAGACTGAACTTTTGTCTCCACTGCCTTCTCCTCTCTGCTCCAACTTCCTCACCCATTGCCCCTTTCATGCTTGCTTGTTAATTCTGCTCCCATCAATCCCCCTTTGATGTCCTCCACTGCTGCCCTTTGTCATTAAACACCAATACCTCTTTTTAGTCCTTTTGACAGCTCTAAGTCCCCGTCTCCTGGTCCTGCTCACCAAGAGAACACCCTACCCTGCCGGTCAGCCTTAGGGCTTCTCCAGCCACTGCTGCCTGCCAGGCTACTTTTCAAGCTACTGCTTAAGTGTAGAATGCTCTCCCCTGAATTTGTCCATAAAGTAAGCTCATCCTGGCTGTCGTTATCCTTCAGGTCAAACCCTTCATCCAAATGCACCAGAACACATTAGTCAACCATAACACTAGGTTGGAGGTTTGTGAGGAACAAACAGTGCCTTCCTCAACAACGAAAAGAAGCACTCGCTGTCCCTCTGTTCGCCAGTTCTCTATACATACGTGTTGCTTTTTTGCCCTGACGTTACAAGTCTCCTTACAGTGTGAATGTCCTTGGGGTAGGAAAGATGTCACTACATTTTGAATTAGTCTCTAGTATAACAGGATCCAGTCTTTTTGCACTGCTGGGCGTTATGGCAAAGCAAGCAAGAAATAAGCTCGCTCTTTAACATCTTGCTACTTACTATCTTCTTCCTCAAATCATAGCGCATGTGAGAGGTAGCTTCAACTGAATGAAGAGATTCATTTTAATTTTAGGAATGAAAAAGGGAGAGAAAAAAGCCTCTGTGTAGACGGGTGCACATTTTAGATAGGTGCACACACATTATCAGAAAAGCCAATAGGCTATTCAAGCTTCGGCAGGACAAGAAAGCTGCTACCCTTTGAAACATAGGCATGTTACTGTGTAGGTTTCCCTAACCAGGAAGACAACATGCTATCATCCTGTCTTTTAATTCTCATGTTTGCTGAGAGCGGGCCAAGAAAATACAAAGAAGAGGAGCACGAGCTGGGGTACGGAGGTGGAGGCAGAAGGGCAAAAGCAAACTCTTAATTGGCAAGGTCCAGCTCTGCTTGGATTACATTTGGGAAGGCAGGATAAGGGTAAGGCAGAATTATCTTTATTAAACTTGTCAGCCCTTTTCTTGCTGACATAGGCTTTGAATTTTTCCATTTAACCCTTGGTTACAAGGATCCCTGGTAAACCTTCACCCCTTGCGGCAGGTAGAGAAGCACTTTACCTCAGGTAGTGCTGCAGGGGTACCCAGGAAACCATAATCATTTTTAGCACCGTTTTCCACTCAGAGTTTCTGAATAATGACAGCTTCATCCACTCCCGGGTCCTACAAGCCTCCCTGTATCCGCCCTGCCTGGTGCCTACTGACAGGCTCCTCTCATTTCTCTTCTCCCGAGAAGCCATTTGAGTCCAGCCTTCAGTTCAATCACCTGGCACCCTCTCCCATAGTAAAACCGTAGCTGTTTTTACAGCTTGCCCCTTCCAGGTGGCTTTTCTCACCAGTCCTTCTGTGAGTGTGTTGGGCAGAGCGGCTCAGTCCTTGCACCCGCCGCAGCTCCATCTGCACCTCTGGAGCCTGGTGTGACTGGGGAGAGGACTGCACCTTCCAACCTGGGCCAGCAGACAGGGTTTGATTTTTCTTGTGCCTGCTCAAATGTGGTGCCAGTTCTAAAAGCGTGAACGGTGCCTTTAGGATAAACAAAATACTATGATTTAGGGAGTTTGTCATTTACCAAAAGACCTGCGCATTTATGTGGTCAGCACAGCTCCCAGGCAATGAAAGGCAAAGGGTGACATAATCTAGAAACCAAGGCTCTCAAACCCTATGTTCCTCACAACAGTGAATAGCCTGCCAGCATTTCCATGCCTTCTCTCCATAGTGGACAATCCAAAACAACCAGCGCTGATGCAGATCGCTGTTAAACTCCACTGCCAGGACCTAATATTGAATGCGATTTCCCAATCTTTCCAATACCCAAAAATTTAGGAAAATAGTCAAGGCTTTGCACATACACCATTATTAATGTCTCATTAACATCACATTTCTTGCTGGCTGGCTATCAGCCACTATTTCACCACTATGACACTGACTTTTAAAAGGGAGATGCTTTATGCACCTATTGCTTAACTGTCTTGCTCTAAAATTGCCTGGTCTTCAAAATCCATCCATTTCAAGGAGTTCTTGAGAGGCAAAAAAGCTCTGGATTAAGATTACAGTTCCGTTATTGGTCAGAGTGTTATTTTCCTTCCTGTGATGTCAGGCTGCTCTGTCATTTTTGACAACACATTTAGTTGATGTTGCAAACCCCACAGCTTTTTCAAAGGTGCTGTCAAGATTATTTTAATTAAAATAATATCTATACAGGGGTTAATGAAACTGGGAAAAAAATTCCAGCAGGAGTTTGTCATCCACCACTCTTCATTACTGCATTCACGAGAAACCAAATTCCCACAGTCCCCATGACTTGTGGAAACCAAGTGGGACCACGAAATCACCCCTTGACGGCTTCCACAGAGCTCCAGCTCCAGCTCACCCACTTTACCATGCAGACCCAGAGCCCTTCCACAGAGTAACCATCACACAGTATCCTCAGTGTTCAGCCCATTCTCGTTACTCTCCTCAGAAATACTAACGGCCATGGGGCATATAAAATTTCCTTCATTATGTCAAACGCCACTTTGATAGCACCATAGACATAACCTGGGTTCACCTGTACTTTTTTTTTTACTCAATGATACCACATGTGGGAACCCGATGCTTCCAACAGCAATGGCCCTCAGACAGAGACGCCCACTGCCAGTTTTTCAAAGCAGACTAGTCTCCTCTTGAAATAAATCCTGCATATAATTAGACAAATCAATATCTATTGAACAATGATTTTCTTTTTTTTCAGTTAGCAACCCTCAGTACTAAACCATATCTCTGCAAACTGTTAGTCTAGGAAATTACAGGCTTTCAGTCAAACCAGCTCAGTTTGTTTCTGCGTATGGTTACAGTCCTCAAACTTTGCAGGCAGTTTCAGTAAAGTCTCTTGCAGTAACAATCGTGTAGCGTACAGCTCACTCGTTACCAACGCTTCTTCCATTTTACATTCTCTCTACCAGCTGCCTGCGTATCTGTCTTCGTGTATAGGTGACAACAGGCACATCAGCCACCTTCCCTTCAGCTAGGCTGGGCTGCACAAACATTAATGCAATGCAAAGCGAAGCCTGCGGAGCCAGTTGGCTGTAACTTCAGGCTCCTCTTCTAGCTCAGCTACTCATTTTTTCTGTGCTCTCACTTCTGTCCTACCATCAAATCACCACTACCAGTTGCTTTTTATTTGAAGAAATGGTCGCCTCCCAAGATGACACACCTCTGTGCAGTGATTGCACACCCATACCCACAGAAGAGAAACTGCAAAGTCCATACTTCTGTACGAGCAGCAGAACTAGCAAACATTGTTTTCCTATAATTTCCATGCTGTTTAATGTACTTCCTAATCTCAGTTCCTTACCATGCCCCATATTATACCTATTATGGCTCCCCTGCTCCCTTCTGCCAGGCTCCTTGAGCCCTTCTCCACATCACAGGGACTGGCATTTTCTGTAAAAGAGAGCAGCTCGTTACTCACATTTCGCTCATTAGGAAATCACCTTGGGTTTCACTGCACTGGATGCTGACTTCGATAAAACTTGTAACAACTTAGTATGAGATGCTGGGATTTTACAGACTTTCCCAGTTACACAGGTGTCAGATATGTCCTACGACTACCTGCGAAGCCACCATCCCAGCGTGAGGATACCGAGTATGACTGACGAATCTCCATTCTAGAAAGCAGAGCTCTGAATGTCAGGGCGTAACACAGCACAGCTGGTTGAAACCTCTTACAGGCTTACCATTGTGTTACGTAATGCTCATGTCAGAAAACATGCAGTTGTTAAATAAACTATGTATTAGTACAAAAAAAACCCATGGGAAACAAACTGGAAGAAACCCCTTATAAGGTCAACATTTCTGCTCTTCATCAAGGGAAGACAGAAAACCAAGGGCCTAGTGCAAATAAGGAAAAATCAGTAGGCACAGCCAGTATCAGAGATATTTTCATGGAAAGCTTGGCCAAATGATTCGGTCACATTGCATCTGAACACGTCGTGTTCGCCCCATCCTTTCTGCAAGCACAACCATTGTTCTATCTGCTTCACATTTGCAATTCTGTTAGTGGAAACATTTTCTAATGTAAAGTTGCCAAACATAAATCAGCCTTGAACAGGAAGAATTAGAGCAAGTTAGAAGATTAAAACCATGGGAACAAACTGAAATACACAACAACTTTTCTGTAGTTGCGATTTTCTGCGGGGGAGGCAAGAGGTTCTTGTTCTCTCTTGCTTACTCTCCATCAGAGCTTTTTCTAGGAAAGGGATGGCATTGTCACTCACTCTCAGATTTGCTCATGCCTTTTTTGTGACTCTGATGATGCCTCAAAGCCTATTCTATTAGTCTTTCTCATTATAAACCTTCTTTAGCTCATAACATTTCAGATGCTTTCTGCTGTAAGGATAAAGGAGCTCTTCACTCCTCACACACTGCAGTGATTCTGATTACTGGAAGGATATTTGAAATGTAATATTGTGAGGAGAGGTGTAATTATGTCTGTATTTGAATGGAACTATTCTAAGAGGCATTGGAAAGGCAGACTTTCATGGTTGCTACAGGTCTTTGGGGTCAAGCAGTTTATTAGGAAATAATCAGGACCTAAAAATGCTCTGGTTGTTTTTTGGATGCTCGGCAAATTCCACCACCTTCTCAGGAATCTGGTATTACTTGTTCTCGTTGTAAGCGCTCAGACTGGTCAGTATGCACTGGCATCGACACCAGCGCTCCTTAGCACTCCTAATGGTACCACCAACATGCTCTTTTTTTCCTGGCTATTGGACGTGGTTGTGTTCTGCAACTGCATTCAATCAAAACTATCTCTTCTGCAGAGCCTGGATTTCCATTTTTCTCTCTTGCTCATTGCATCCAATGAAACTTAAATAGCATCCCAAATTCTGTTAACAGAATTCCATACAGCTTATAGCCAGAGCTGGCCTCCCAAAAACTTGGAAGGGGGAAGAAACAGGATAATCTGCTCTCTTTGAATTTAAGGTTTGTATTTTAGCCTTTTCAGGTTTATCTCTTCCTGTTTTACTTTTGATATATTCTCATTTACGTGCTTTCTCCGTCCCCGCCTAGCCTTGCTCTGTCCTGCCCCCATAGCAATGGGACTATTGGCAGTGCCTACAGGAAGGCACTCACCAAAGCCCTTGCACGATTGCTAGTTTAGCTTGCTCTTCTGACTAGAAAACACGAGCTTCCTTTCTCCTTTTCTGCCGTCTTCACGTATTCATCCCAGCAACTGAATAATGTAAAATGTGTTGTTACAAGCAATGGTGAAAGCCACCACTGTCAGAGGAAACCCAGCTTTTCACTTCTCAGACCGCCTGACCTATGCCGACAGCACTGAGGAGGCCAGGTAAACTCTGTGGTCCAAAACAAGGAGTTTAACAAAGGCTTTGCCAGGATAGCCCAAAGTCGGCTTTTCTGAAAAATCTTCTTGTTTTGTCTTGCTGATGGCCACAGCGCTCATCCTGGCTCCCTCATCCTAGTGAGACCTGCTGGATGCAGACATTGTTTGGAAATCTGGCCTGAGCAGTGATCAAACAGTTTTTAATGTATTCTTTTTTGGAAGTACTACCAGTCAGACTTAAACAGAGTATAACCTTCTCAACATGTGTCTCAAGCGAGAAACTAGGCCAAATTTGGGCTTAGAACACCAAAGCTTCTTGGAGCAGGCAGCATCAGTTAAGCACAGGCTGAGAGGAGTGCCAATAATCTCGAGGGCTGTTCGTGAGGGATTTCCACGAGCTTGAGTTACAGTCTCCTGGGAAGACCAATGCACCCAAAGCAGCCCGAAGAAACGCTACAAAAATCGCGTAACTTCTACCAAGGTCAGTTTTAATTCAGCTGTTGAACGTTGTGGATCTTGGTAGCCACATCCAATCATGCAAGAATGCCAGAGCTGCTGGAGCCTTTCCACAAAAAACGGGCAGTCTCCATGTTCTAATGTCCTCCATCAGAAGACAAAATCAAGGCTTTGCCATCCAAAAAAACCAAGCTGAATGACTGGGTGGCTCATGTGCAGAAACAAAGACATCACAAAAAATCAAGCCAAAAATCACAAGCCTGTTGTGCAGGAGAAGTCATGACTACATAACTTTTTAAAATAAATGGATTCCCAGTGAAGGTCCCTATACATTATGATCTCTTAGATGTCAAGCTCAGAGAATAAAGTGCCAAACCCTAGTACTGAAGATGGCTCCAGTCACCCGGCTGGAAGGAGAAGTCCTGAGACAGTGGCAAGACGTAAATACATACAATTTCAAGGAAACACCACTAGAACTTTTCCACGCTTCTGCCAAGCAATAGAGTCTCACCAAACGGAGCTAGCAAAGGTGGCGTGTGCATCTGCTTTGGAAAATGCAAAGACAGTAGTCTTCTACCACATGAAGTTGATAATATTGTGCTAAATCAAAGCCTGCATTTTTAGGATTAACCATGTATTGGTCTCCTGCAACTTACTATCAGGAAAAAAAACGCCTTTAAGCAGAGTCACATTCTCCAATAGCCATATGCTTAAATATCCAGTAGCAAAGCAAATAACTTTTTGGCTTCTTATGACAAAGCATCAGATTGTTTTGCTAAATTTTACTCTAGGATTAAAAGCCATCCTAATAAGTTTTACTTTCCCTTTGATGAACAAGAAAATCATTGTAATAAATTGCAAATGATATTTTTTCAAAACATTGGTGGACTGAAAAATCAAATATTCTGACATTTGATGGTGAAGCAATATCGGTACTTTGTTCCCAGGGAATTTCAAGCAGTAGGACAGCTCTTGGCAGTAACCATCATCAGAAGGAAGCCAGACATCTAAGATGGGATATCACCTGAGTTAAATTACATCTAAGATGGGATATCACCTGAGTTACATCAATCTGCATATTACTATATGCTTGGATTTTATATTAATACAGTGTTAAAAAGACATTATTTAAGTTATGAAGTCACATGTGGGGAAGCTTGAGTGCTACAGCTTTTCCTTAACTCATTATTTCACATCTCAAAATGCTGCCCTGACTTACACACTTATATTCTATTTTGTTTACAAAGTTCTGCCTCACTCAGTACACAGTACAGATGGCACTCAGCGAACAGTATTTTGTAACTCCCCAGTCCTCACAGCACTGCGTGTTTCTCAAACCCTGAGAGGTGGTATCACCCCCTACTTTGCTCTTGGATTTTCTTATAGCACTCATCACTACCACATTCAAGCCCGACACAAATCTGAAACACCAGCCCTTCTCTACCATGAGTGGATACCAGCAATCAGACTGTTATGCTGTAATTTTTAATGTTTTATTGCTTCCACCAAAGTTTATAATGGGGTTTTGAAGAACAAACTTTCTTTTGGGAAGATGGGAGGGTTTGATTCCAAACTTATTCTGTCGGTTTCTTCCTTCCCCCTACCCCTAATGTAATCTTTCCTCCAGAGCTGTGGATTGAGACAGATTCACTCACCATCACTATCAGCAGGCTTCAGCAGAAACTCCCTCCCAGCACGACCCAGAAATAAACTTCCAAATATTTTCTGTTTGAAAGGCGAATTCTATAGCTTTATAGACATAGTTTGCCTTAACATCATAACTTTCCCCACTCCAGCTTCTCTGTCTGTGCTGGACACCCTTTTTTAACTTCCTCACTCGGTATATGAACACATCACTGATCATTATTAAACAGTGACAGCAGTAGGAATACCAACCCTCGAGATACCTACCTTTTTGATGAGGCTGTAGAGTTCCTCAGCTTCCAAAGGCCAGCTGGGAAAATGCTTCAAGGGCTAAAATTACATCATTGATACGGACTGGTTTTTGGAACCAGCTCTGTGTTGATGTATTCTGTGTCCCTGTATTTACCTGTGATATTTATTAGCAGGCATCACCAGATATGAGCCAGCAAGCCTGAAGATGTGCTTCTCTTTAAAGCTGTGTAGAAAGAAGTCCATTG